GAAGATTGCTTGAGGCCAGGAGTTCGAGACCAGCCTGGTCAACATAGTGAGACTCCATCTCTACAAAAAAATTTAAAAATTAGACAGGTGTGGTAGTGTGTGCCTGTGGTCCCAGATCCTTGGGAGACAGAGAAGGAGGATCATTTGAGCCCAGGAGTTGAGGCTGCTGTGAGTAATAATGATGCAACTGCACTTCAGCCCAAGCAACAGAGACCTTGTCTCTTAAATAAAAACAAAGAAAATGTGTGGCACAGTTATCGATCAGACTATCCAGATCGAGATACTTCCTATTTCTCCATGAGCTCTCAAGGGTCAAATTCAAATTATGGGTTTTCCCCTCATCACTTCAGCTTGTGGCAGGGGACTAAAACATAAACGAGTCAGTGAAGGGGCAAAGAGAATTTCAGAAAAAGAAGCTTAGATGCATAATGAATGGTCCAGGTTCTGTATTTCCAGATCAAACTGATCGTCTTTTGAAGGCACATAAAACACAAATGCAGTAAGATTTTCACACTTCAGGGTATAGAATAAATGTGTGTCTTTGTTTATATATAAATGTGTGTTTTTATATATATGTGTTTATATATATGTTTATATATATATGTGTGTGTGTGTGCGTATATATATGTGCATATATATATATGCACGCACACACACACACACACACACACACAAACAAAATATACATATATTCTGGAGACAGAGTTTCAATCTCATTGCCCAGGCTAGAGTGCAATGGCACAATCTCTGCTTACTGGAACCTCCGCCTCCTGAGTTCAAGTGATTCTCCTGCCTCAGCCTCCCAAGTAGCTGGGATTGCAAGTGCCTGCCATCACGCCTGGCTAATTTTTTGTATTTTTAGTAGACATGAGGTTTCACCATGTTCGCCAGATTGGTCTTGAACTCCTGACCTCAGTTGATCCACCCACCTTGACCTCCCAAAGTGCTGGGATTACAGGTGTGAGCGACCATGCCTGGCCAGAATATATATATATTTTAAGACAGCATTTGACTCTGTCACCCATGCTAGAGTGCAGTGGCACCATCATGGCTCACTGCAGCCTTGACCTCCCAGGGCTCAGATTATCCTCACAGTCTTCTGTGAGTGGTTGGGACTACAGGCACACGCCACCATGCCTGGCTGATTTTTTAATTTTTTTGTAGACGCAAGGTTTTTCTATGTTGCAGTCTGGTCTCGAACTCCTGGACTCAAGCGATCCTCTCGCCTGACCTCCCAAAGTGTTGGGATTACAGGCATGAGCCCCTGTATCCCATTTAAGATTTAGAATGGCTCGCCGAGCAGCAGCCGAGGATCGCGGCGCCGAGGCCGGCCCTCTATGTCGAAATGCGGCTGGCGGGCACCCGGCACCCCGCGGCCGGCCGGCTGGGCCACTGAAGGCGGCGCGAGGCGCAGACGCGGCGCGAGCGGGCGCCCCAGGGAGCCGGCCGGGCGGGGTGCCCCGAGGATGCCGGCACGGCTGGAGCGCTCGCGGGCGGCGGCAGCGGCAGCGGCAGCGGCAGCGGCAGCGGCGGGCGCTGGGCCCCGGCGCTCAGGAGGCCGCTTGGCGGGCTGCAGACGCGCCCCGCCGCTCCCTGACCTACCGGCGGCGCCGGGGGCCCCTCTCGCCCCTCTTCCGCGCTCCTCGCCGCCCCCTCCCCAGCCCCGTCCCCTCCCCCGCTCCTCTCCTCCCCGCGCGCCGCCCGCCTCTCGGGGGGAGGGGCGTGGGGGCAGGGAGCCGATTTGCAGGCGGCCGCCGCGGCCGCTGCCTGTGGCCGAGCCCGCCGCCTCTGGCGCGGCCCTCGGGGGGGACGAAGGTGAAGACCGGCTCCTAGGATGAGTGAAGGGGCGGCCGCTGCCTCGCCCCCTGGTGCCGCTTCGGGAGCCGCCGCCTCGGCTGAGGAGGGCACCGCGGCGGCGGCTGCGGCGGGCGGGGGCCCGGACGGCGGCGGCGAAGTAGCGGCCGAGCCGCCCCGGGAGTGACGCTGTAGCGACTGCATCGTGTGGAACCGGCAGCAGGCTGGCTGTGCGTGGTGCCTCCGTTCATCGGCTTCATCGGCCTGGGGCTCAGCCTCATGCTTCTCAAACGGATCGTGGTGGGCTCCGTCAAGGAGTACGTGCCCACCGACCTGGTGGACTCCAAGGGGATAGGCCAGGACCCCTTCTTCCTCTCCAAGCCCAGCTCTTTCCCCAAGGCCATGGAGACCACCACCACGACCACTTCCACCACGTCCCCTGCCACCCCCTCCGCCGGGGGCGCCGCCTCCTCCAGGACGCCCAACCGGATTAGCACCCGCTTGACCACCATCACTTGGGTGCCCACTCGCTTCCCCGGGCACCGGGTGCCCATCCGGGCCAGCCCGCACTCCACCACAGCATGGAACACTGCGGCCCCCCCGACGGTCCTATCTACCACTGCGGCGTTCTTCAGTAGCAGCAGGCCGGGCTCCCGACCCCCGATGCCAGGAACCCCAAGCACCCAGGCAGTGCCCTCCTGGCCCACTGCGGCATACGCTACCTCCTCCTACCTTCACGATTCTACTCCCTCCTGGACCCTGTCTCCCTTTCAGGATGTTGCCTCGTCGTCTTCCCCCTCTTCCTCGTCCTCTACCACCACGACACCAGAAACTAGCACCAGCCCCAAATTTCCTACGACGACGTATTCCACAGAGCGATCTGAACACTTCAAACCCTGCCGAGACAAGGACCTTGCATACTGTCTCAATGATGGCGAGTGCTTTGTGATCGAAACCCTGACCGGATCGCATAAACACTGTCGCACAGTGTGAGAGAAGTGGTGGCCCAGTCCTCAACTCCCTTCGGTGAACTGAAGATTATAGGGAACCGAGTTTGCAACATTCTCACTTGTCTTCAGGCTGCCTGAAGTGTCGTTAACTCAAAGTACAAAAGAGAAAAACTAGATTTGATTGCAGTCTGAAGGAAGCCATGGGAAGCAGTGGTGATGGTTCATGAAAACCTCAAGAGCTGCAATTGTGAAGACCTCTGAGACAAGAGATTGCCTACTGGGGAATACAATTGAACAGTTAAAGCCCCAGAAGATGCAGTGGTGTGACTCTTAGATAAAATACTGCATTTAAAAACTGTCATGTATATGAANGGGGGCGCCGCCTCCTCCAGGACGCCCAACCGGATTAGCACCCGCTTGACCACCATCACTTGGGTGCCCACTCGCTTCCCCGGGCACCGGGTGCCCATCCGGGCCAGCCCGCACTCCACCACAGCATGGAACACTGCGGCCCCCCCGACGGTCCTATCTACCACTGCGGCGTTCTTCAGTAGCAGCAGGCCGGGCTCCCGACCCCCGATGCCAGGAACCCCAAGCACCCAGGCAGTGCCCTCCTGGCCCACTGCGGCATACGCTACCTCCTCCTACCTTCACGATTCTACTCCCTCCTGGACCCTGTCTCCCTTTCAGGATGTTGCCTCGTCGTCTTCCCCCTCTTCCTCGTCCTCTACCACCACGACACCAGAAACTAGCACCAGCCCCAAATTTCCTACGACGACGTATTCCACAGAGCGATCTGAACACTTCAAACCCTGCCGAGACAAGGACCTTGCATACTGTCTCAATGATGGCGAGTGCTTTGTGATCGAAACCCTGACCGGATCGCATAAACACTGTCGCACAGTGTGAGAGAAGTGGTGGCCCAGTCCTCAACTCCCTTCGGTGAACTGAAGATTATAGGGAACCGAGTTTGCAACATTCTCACTTGTCTTCAGGCTGCCTGAAGTGTCGTTAACTCAAAGTACAAAAGAGAAAAACTAGATTTGATTGCAGTCTGAAGGAAGCCATGGGAAGCAGTGGTGATGGTTCATGAAAACCTCAAGAGCTGCAATTGTGAAGACCTCTGAGACAAGAGATTGCCTACTGGGGAATACAATTGAACAGTTAAAGCCCCAGAAGATGCAGTGGTGTGACTCTTAGATAAAATACTGCATTTAAAAACTGTCATGTATATGAAGAATTGGGGAAACAAATGACTCATGGACAGGACCAGGAATATACATGTTCAGAACACTCCCTTAAGCCTTAAGAGGGAACTTTAAGGCTTCATGACATGCCGATGAGTCAGTATCTTCTGCATGGACTCTGTGCAAAGATTGGGAGAGGTGTCTGTTTTTTCAAATGCTCTATTTTCAATGAAAGTTCAGAGATATACAAAGAAATAGGAATGCATGGTCCATTCAAAGGAAAAAAATAAATCCCCAGAAATAGTCTCTGAAGACATATAGGCATTGAGCTTACTAAAGACTTTCAAGGAGCTGACTTAAATTTTCTCAAAGAGATAAAGAAAAACATGAATGGATGACTAAAATAAATTGGGAATATTATATGTGAACAAAATGAGAATATCAACAAAGAGATAACATATTTTAAAAAGAACTAAACTAAAATTATGGAGCTAAAACATACAATAACAATTGGAAATTTCATTAGAAGGGTTCAACAGCAGATTTGAACAGACAGAAGAACTAATCAGATAACTTGAAGACAAGTCATTTGAAATTATTGAATCTGAAAAAGAAAAAGGAAAAATGAATGAAGAAAAGGGAATAGAGCCTCAGACATGTGTGGACCATTACCAAGGAGACGAACGTATGTACTACAGGAGTCCAAGGAAGAGAAGCAGGAGAGAAAAATGAAGATAGCATATTTGTAGAAATAATGGCTGAAAATGTACTAAATTTAGGAAAGAAATGAATATACAAATATGAGAAGCTCAGAGAACTCCAAGTAGGATAAATTCAGAAAGAATGTACACATACTAAGACAAATTATAGTCAAAAGTGTTGAATTCAAAGACAAAGAAAATATCTTGAAAGTAGCAAAAAAAAGCAAGTTGTCATGTACTCTGTAAATACATGATACTTTCTTCTAAGATTATCAGGATATTTCTCTTGAGAAACACTGCAGGCCAGAGGGCAGTGAGATGGTGTATTTAATGTGCCAAAAGAAAAAAAAAAGGAAGAAAAACTTACTAACCAAGATCTTAAATTCAAAGCTTAACTTTATATATTAAAAACCTGGAAACAACAGCAAGAAGGAGCTAGCAGAAAGAAATAACAAAGATTAGAGCAGATAGACACAAAATGGAGAACAGGAAAATAATAGGAAAGAATAAATAAACAAAAACATGAGTTGGTTCATTGAAATTTTAAATAAAATTGACCAACCTTTAGCTAGATTAACTATGATTGAGAGAAAAGACTGAACTAAATTCAGAAATAAAAGAGGGGAAAATACTAACACCAATTTTATTGAAACACAAATAATTATAAGACAGTTTTATAAACAGTATAACCCACAAATTGGATAATCTAGAGGAAATGGCCAAATTTTAAAAACAGACAACCTACTAAGACTGAATCATAAAGACATAGAAAATCTGAATAAACATACAATTTTCCAAGAGATTGCATTAGTAATCAAGGAGCTCCTGAGAAAGAAAAGCCCTAGAGCAGATGGCTTCATGGGAGAATAGAATAGAAAGCCAAGAAATAAACAGATACATATATGGTTAAATACTTTTCTATAAGGATACAAAAACCATTAAATGACAAAATAACAGTCTTTTCAAAAAACTGTATTGGGAAAATTGGATATTCACATGCAAAAAAATTAAGTTAGATCCTTATCCTACACCATAAAAAAATTAACTAAAAATAGATCAAATACTTAAGTGTAAATTTAAAATTCTAAAACTTCTAGGAAAAAAAAAAAAAACAGGGGAAAAGCTTCATGACACTGGATTTGGGATTTGGCAATGATCTTTCAGAAATGACATCAAAAACATAAGCAACAACCACAAGAGACAGATAAATTGAACTACATCAAAATTAAAAACCTTCATGCTTCAAAGGACGTTATCAACAGAGTGAAAAGGCAACCCACGGAATGGGAGAAATTTGAAAATTACACATCTGATAAGCAGTTAAGGTCCAAAATATATAAAGAATTACTATAACTTGACGATAAAAAAACAACTTGATTTAAACAAAAGAGCAATGGACTTCAATAGACATTTTTCCAAAGAAAATACACAAATGGCCAATAAGCACATGAGAAAATACTCAACAACAACAATCGCTAGGTCAAGGCAAATCAAAACCATGACAACATAGTCTCTCACAGCCATAAGAACGGCTACTATGAAAAACAAAGCAAAAGAGACAAAACAAAAAACAACAAGTTTTGGTAAGAATGAGGAAAAATGTGCACTACTTGTGCACTACTGGTGAGGATGTAAAATGATGCAGCCACTGTGGAATAGTGTGTCAGTTTCTCAAAAAATTAAAAAGGAAACTACCTTATGATCCAGCAATGTCACTTGTAGGAGTATACTCAAAAGAATTGAAAGCAACGACTTCAAGAGATGTTGATCCACTCATGTTCATAGCAGTATTCACAATAGCCAAAGGTAGAATCAATCCAAGACTCTCTTGATGGATGAACATATAAACAAAATATGGTATAGACACACAATGGAATATAGTTTAGCCTTAAAAATGAAGAAGATTCTACATGCTACAGCATGGATGAAACTTGAAGACATTATGCTAAGTAAAACAAACCTGTCCCAAAAGATCAAATACTGAATCACTCTCCTCATATGAAGTACCAAAAGTCATCAAATTCATAGAGACAGAG